CGTTTGTCAAGGTTAAAGTAAGATGGTGCAACCCAGCCTAAGACTACTGTATTCAAATAACGAATACACTTAACTACCACAAACAGTCAGTCCGACTACGTTAAGTTGCTGGTTTTGATGGCCTCATCAACACCAGCAACTTAACGTCAAGCATCTTAAGCGGTTGTAATGGGAGCTTTTTTGGATATTTTCTGATGTGCTGGTGATTTTACGTACTAACTCCTACATAATAGCTCTGTGATAGAACTAAAAATTAACGTTTTCGATTAACTTCACCCTGCTTTGATTCTTTGGTTGTGGTCTTCGGTAGTATAAGTGTCTTGTCTTACATCTTTAACTGGCTACTCTCCTTAATATTTTTCCCTCCTGTCTAAGTACAATACTTATATAACATATTACAACCTGTACCTCTACGGTAAAACTTTCGTAATAATTTAAAACACCTAAATTAGTTATTATACCGTAATTAAAATCACTTTTCTATAAAGAAATATTTCATTTGCAGAATTGAGAATGAGAGGGCCTCCTAGACAGGGAATGGCAGGTACGAAATTTACACCCTCAACCACCATTTCTGTATCAAATCAAGTGTTGCAACGAATTCATGTTATTGGTATCTCTCGCGAACTGTGGCCGAAACCGATAGACCAAACATTATCAAATCATTGCAACACTTCGGAGAATACAGAAACCGATCCATAATATAGGGGTCATGCTGCCCTCGCAGATATTAACATGCTCGAATCTAATTCCAGGACCGTGGATGGACGGGCCGGGCCCAGGACCGGGGGGCCCCGGCGGCCCGGGAGGCCCGGGGCCGGGCTTCGGGCCCCGGTTCAACGGCATGGGGCCCCCGCCCTTCAACAGGCCCCCGTTCGAGCGGCCGCCCTTCGAGGGGGGCCCCATATTCGAGGGCCCGCCGAGGTTCGAGCGTCCGCCGTTCAACCGAATGCCGTTCGACGGGATGAATCGGCCCCCGTTCGACGGGCCCCGGCCGCCGTTCGACGGCCCGCGGCCTCCGTTCGACGGCCCGAAGCCGCCCTTCGACGGCCCGCGACAGTTCGACGGCCCGCCGGAGTTCTTCGACAGAAACAACCGACGGTTCGACGAGCGGGAACAGTTCAACGAGCGCGGCTGGAACGGCGACCGCGACCGCGACTGGGGCGACCGCAGGAACAACGAGTGGGACGACCGCCGCAGGGACCGCAGGCCCCGGGAGCTCGACGACCGGTTCCGGGACCGAAACGACCGCAGGAGGAACTTCGACGACCGACCGCGACCTCCCCGGGACGCGCGAGACAACTCCAAAGATAACAAAGACGCGCCCAAGGACGCCCCCAAGGAGATCCCTAAAGAGGCCCCCAAGGAGGCGCCGAAGGAGGAGAGAAACACCAGAAGAGAGAGAGACAGAAAGTCGAGGTGGGGGGCCGCCGAGGACGTCGTGATCCCGGCCGAGAGCCAGGACGTAGTACAAGATATCGCCGAGAACCAGACAAATATTACTAGTGATAACGCTGAAAACGTCGACGCGAGTCGGGAACAAACAGAAAGCGATCCGTCCGAGCGGGAAGAAGCGAGCGAGCCGTTCGCGCCCGTACGCCCGTCGAGAGAGAGAGGGACGCGTTTAACAACGAGGAGGATCGGCAGCCGGAGAGCGAGGAGCGTTCGTGTGCTAGTCACGATTATAGCGAACAAAACCACATCGAACCGGTTCAAAGGGAGGAAGCGAAGGAGCTCCCGGCGCCTAGCGATCTGTACGACACGAGCGAAGCGGTTGCGAGTTTCCCGATGCCGAAGCCGGTCGCGGAAGCGATGCCCGCCGTTGAGACGGAAGCCAACAGCTCGAAGGACATATTCGACGAGGCGAGGGACAGGGAGCCCGAGCCCGCGGAGAGCCGCGAGGGAGCCGCCTGACACCGGCGCCGGTGGAAGGTGGACTATTTCCAGTGGAAATGATTCGGGTGACACCCGCTCGGCCGCGCTCGCTAGGCTCGCTCGCCCGCGGGTGGGGCGACTATAAATGTTTAAATTTATATACCGCTCACGAAACTTATAGATGTTATATCGCAGTTTTATAAGATTGAAATGTATATTTTGTTGTTGACGTGGAGCCCCACACGAGCGCGGCGGAGCGGCACGCGACGACGCCAAAGATTTTTATACGCAATCAAATATGAAATATACGAGTGCCTTATTGGTTACCGAAGTGGTGTTTTGTTTGCTCCGGCGCCGCAGAAGAGGAACGCGCCTGGGCGCTCAAGTGGAGCGACCCGGGCCAGGTACGTCCGCGCACGTCGAGAACAATCGCACGACACGCACGCAACAACCAAAGCTGCGTTTACACGAGCATAACACACTTTGCCTGTATCCCAAGTCAAGCCTGTACTTAACCTTAAAACTGTACTCGAGTCATTTCAGCAAAGTTATCAAGGCATCTTGCTCGTGTAAACGCGGCTCTTAACACCTGTTTGATTTTCATCGCGTTTCCAGTAAGATGTTGCAAAGTTCTATTACAATTTTGAGTTGCACCGTTGTACTCGGCGTGCGTATTTTTCTATTGTATTTGCCGATGTTGAAATGGAGATTCGTAATGATTTAATAGTACTTATGATAAAATAATTGAATGGATAAATTTTGTTGATTAATTAAATAAAATCTCCATTTCAACACTAATAATATGACTAGCAATGTGTGCAAAACACCGCGGCGCGCGTCACCCGAATCGGCCCTGGAAATGACTACAAGGAAACAACGCAAGACTCAAGCGACGGAATCCTCCATTTTGACACGATGTCGAGCCGACGTCGGCCATCTTCGTTATGTTTCTATTTTTTTTTTCTTTACTTCAATTAGATCATAATTTCATTAATATATCTGTATAACTTTAGTTTAGATGGATCTTAGGCTAATTTTGGAAATTAGCTTCCAAATCAAATAAATTGCATTATTCATTCATCGATTAGAATTGATTTAGCTTTATCTTGTAAAATTGGTGAGGGTAGGAAGAGATTTAAAAATGATAGCACTATATTCATCTATATGATAGACACTACTAACACATTTTATATGTTTAGGAGTTTAGTATTCTAGCAAAATACCCATCACATAGAGATAGGTTGGAGTATAAAGTTAAAATATTTTACATTGAAAGTACTTCGCGTGCACTTGCACATTGTTTAGATTTAAACAGTTCAATGTTAATATGTAACATATTTTACAAATATTTAACTATATGTGGGTCTTTTATTTTATTGTTAGGGATTACATACCTATACCATAATTTTGAACAAGTTTCTAGGTGTGGCCCACGATATTGTGTAGATAAGGAATTTATAATTTAATTGCATGCATCGATGTTCTGTCATATTTGTGCTTCAATAAAAAATTCAAAATGTCTATCTACATTTTTATTATTTGTAAAGGGAGTTTTAGCACTGGCAAGGTTGGCATCAGTCGGCGTGGTCCCTTTTGCACACATTGTCTAGTTTTGCTTGTGTATTGTTTGAATTGCAGCTCTTGGGACCAACGGAGCGCCACTCAGTCCACGGATGGATAGATGAGCCAGCCAGATTAAAGACGGCTGACTAGAAATACGATCGTAGTGTGACCCGCTCAGAGATGACATCTAAATTAAAATGCCTGAATTGTTTTTCTTAACACCTATAACGTTTAAATCGTTGTTCTTTCATTTCGGAAATCAATATTTTAAATTTAATATTTTCTCACAAATGTTCATTATTTTAATGATACCACTAATTATATTACTGGCCTTGCTGTCATGTTCATAAAGTTGCATATTAAAATGGCCGAACTGATTTTGATAAAAGTACATTTAATTAAAACTTAGAAAGAAAAAAGAAAAATAGTTTAACATAATAGTTTTACACAATTTAAATTACACTTATATAATTTAACCAAAATGGCTCCTACTCATCGTGTATCAGGTTCCATTCAGAACATGTATTCTGTAGGAACCATCTTGAAAAGATGTAAAAGTTCTGAAAACTTAAAACTTTTCCTAGTGCAGAGAGTACTCCCTTTTATCAAAGGGAAAAAACACTACATTAATATTGCAAAAAAATACACCTCTAGACCAATTACGAGTTGACTGTGACAGCTATGTATGAATCTCACAAAGTGATTCTTTCTACTGCTCAAATACATAAAACATAAAAATGGATTGAATAAACTTGCTCTCGTGTCCCCATTTTTGATGACAATTTTTATATAGTTCCAAAATACTGGACTGTCCTGTCGATGACATTGACAGTGGGGCGCCACCGTCAATACCGGATCGCTGGTTCAGATTTTTGCCATGTTGGAAACCATATAGTTGAACGATGGTAGCGCCCCCCTGTCATTGAGTTTGGCGGGACAGTTCAGCGTGGGTCATCTATACAGTGTCCCAAAATTAGCACGTCACACTTGACACTGGAGGTAGCTGAGTCAAAGACGCATCGAACAAGCTTATTATGTCCATAGAAAAGTTTCATAAGTTTTAAGATATGACCAATTTTATTTATTCATTTCCATAGAAAAGTTTGATGAGTTTTGAAATATGATGGACTTATACTTGTTAGATGCGTCTTACTTAAGCTCATTTACCTCTGGTGTCAGTGTAACGTGCTAATTTTGGGACACCCTGTATACAGGTAAATACTTTTGTAAGATTGAACTTCCATGACTTGGGAAAAGTTGTTACTTTGAGTTGTAGAATCATTCTATTTTGTTTGATCCATACTTAAAGCTATATACCTACCTACATCCCGTTTAATAATAAATAATTAATTTGTCAAACGCTTTACAAAGTTACGAGATTTTCGTGCCAGGGGTACAGCTTTTATCATCGTACCATACGCCATCTATCGGCGAAAGCTAGCATCATAAATAGCGCCATCTAGAGAGGAAACGAGGTTTCGAGTCGGAACGAAATAACGTTATTGTGAATCGGTAACGGTAGCCCGTTATTTGACAGACGTTACTGTCAATTTTCTTATGACAGTGACACTGTCTGTCAGAATTGTTTTGTGATTGTGTGAGATCGCGTTTTCTTCTTTGTATTCGGCGAAAAATTTACTCTAAAATTATGGAAGGTATTGAAGTTATCACTCAGGATTATGTGAATGTGCATATCACGAAGTCAGACGCCGAGGATGCGGCCCCCATTGAGAGGAGGTTCAAGAAGGGAATCGCTGTGGCCGAGTTTAAGGTTAGATGACTCACATCTGCATATTTATTTCATATTTTTTAACTTATTATTTAATATAGAACCACTATACAATAATTGAAGTGCTCTTTTCATGATAAATTATCATAATTTTACGTAAGAAATAACTTTTACGACGTAGTTTTTGTTGCGTAGGTTGCGTTGCCTACATGACTAACTTATTGTTGTTATCATTTATGTGTTTTGATCATTTTAAATTGCTATAGGTATAAGCAATTAATACTCCTTCGATATTTATAAAACAAGAAGCAGCGAATATGAGATCATGTTACATACCTATGTAGAATGTACCTACTTTCTGAGGGCTATAGAATCGGGATTCTACTGTAATTACAGTAGAATCCCGATTATCCGGATCAATTAAAACCAGGGGTGTTCCGGATAATCGAAAATCCGGATAATCGATTTCAAAGTAAAATCAAACAATAATTAACTTTTTACGATAGAAAGGGTTTTCAATACATCATTTAGAGTCTAAAAATGTAAATTTTAGACCATTGGATGAATCCATTTCTTTTAACAATGAACTAAGACGAAGTCCATACCGTGTTACGGTGGCGGCGCCGTCCATTTTTATGGGTCCAGACTCTTAATCGGTAATTAGAAACTGTGAAGAATGAGTCCGGATAATCGGATATCCGGATAATCGAGATTCTACTGTATGTTATTGATGAGACATATTTCAAAATTCAGTGTGATCATAATTTACCAGACAAAACTGGAGTTGGTGACTGGAGGCTCAGCGACTACAATGAAGCTCAAGCTCTATGATAGCAAGAACAACTTCGTCTGTGACATTGACAATGACAACGCTCTTTTGGGCTCCTACCCCATCGACGATGGAATGAGGATACACGTTATTGACAAATTTACTCTTGTCACTGACTTTGCTGGCACAGATAGTGCTGAGAGGTAAACAATTTATTTAAAATCAAATCAACATCAAAAATATTTTATTCAATTTTGACCACTGCTGGCACTTATGCTATTTGTACACAAAATGCATACATGTAATTTAGTGTCTTATGCACCTCGAAAGTCATGGCAATGAATAAGAAAGTGGCAAACATTCAAAAGTACACATTTTATGAATTTTTCATTACAAACAAAAGAGTTGGCTTTTAGACCTGAGATTGATAATTGTAAAACATTTATTTGAAGTAAGTAACATTTAATTTGTCACTGTTCCAGGTTCCGTCTGTCAGAAGAAGAGTATGAAAAGAAAGGCGACACACTCCGCTCATTCCTGCAGCGCAATCGGCTCGGCAAGTACAATGAGGAAGAGATGAACAAACTCAAAGAGCAGCAACAGAAAGAATTGGAGGAGGAAGCCAGGTTTGATATTTTATAAACAATTAGTAGATCAATAATTTTTCAGTGTAAAATATCCAAGGATATTTATATTTATTTATTTATATTTAATTAACAATATCAATTTAGGTTAAACCAATAATAATATTAAGTCATTGAACACCGAGACGCTAGACACAATGGAAATTGTATTGTTCGAGGCTCACCGGTGAGCCTCGCGGCGTCCAACGTGTTAATACTGATAGAGATAAAATAATAGAAAAATATCAGAATAATTCCATTTTTGTTAATTAATGCATTCACAAAATGTTCTCATCATTTGCGAATATTTATTACATTCATAGTGAGAGAGTAAAGTCTCTATTTGCCTTTGGTAAATCAGAGCGGGCGCTACTGAAAGACTCGCGCGGGCGCTTTTCTATGTCGGAAAGTAGTATGAGCAACTATGGCGTTACCACACGCGCGACGGGAGGCGGGTTTATGCCGCGAGCGTACATTAATAGGCCTTAGCGCAGGCCTTTAATGACCTGAGGGCCTAGTGTGAGTTTTTATTAAACGCGCTCAATGCATGACGGATTGTACAGCGCCCCTAGCGGGAAACGTTCAAAAACTAAAATTTTCATACATTTTTGATGTAAACTCACACTCAGCCCACTGACAGTAGCGGCGTAAGGAGGGGGGCGGTGGGGGCGGTCCGCCCCGGGTGCCAAGCATCAGGGGGTGACAAAAGTCTCGCAGATTAGTACTCACTGGCACAGCTGCATGACAAAGATGGGGGGGGGGACCTAACCATTCTGGGGTGCCGTAACCCCGAGCATGGGAGGGGGGGGGGGGGGGGGTGATCCGGGTGCCAAGCCATGCTACGCCGCCACTGCCCACTGATAATGACAATAGAACTGGTGCTCCTCAGGTTGGCAGCAGCGGTGGTGGTTGGCGCGCGATGCGAGGTGCGCGTGCCGCAGCAGCCGCCGCGCCGCGCCGCCGTGCGATACAACGGGCCGCTGGAGGGAGCCAAGGGGCTGTGGATCGGCGTGGAGTACGACGAGCCGCGCGGGAAGAACGATGGCTCGTGAGTATTGAGAAGACTGTTGTCGGACTTCATGATACATTGTAGAAACTAGAAACGGCAATACATCAAGCTAAACAGGGGGTAATCTGCCGGGCTAGGACGCGCGTCACTATCAGAAACCTTATTATGGCATAAGTTTGCCGCCGTGCGATACAACAGTCAGCTAGAAGGGAGCCAAGGGGCTGTGGATCGGCGTGGAGTACGACGAGCCGCGCGGGAAGAACGATGGATCGTGAGTACTGCCTTGTTGTCTATCTAGACGCTATAATACGACCAAACGGCATCGAGCTAAAACAGGGGGCTAATCTGCTGGGCTAGGAAGCGCGTCACGATTAAAAATCTTATTGTGGTGTAAATAAGCTACCGCGCCGCGCCGCCGTGCGGTACAACGGGCCGCTGGAGGGAGCCAAGGGACTGTGGATCGGCATGGAGTACGACGAGCCGCGAGGGAAGAACGATGGCTCGTGAGTATTTATACTTTTAAACTGCTTGGCAATATATCGAAGTAAACAATGGTATCTTGGTACTCCTATGGATATCAGCTGCAAATGCAGGGCTAGGACGCACGTCACAATAAAATCTTACCGTGGCGTAAATAAGCCATCGAGCCGCCGTGCGCTACAACGGGCCGCTAGGGCGGATCGGCGTGGAGTATGACGAGTCACGAGGCAAGAACGATGGCCTTAGTATCTAGATGTCGTAACTCGTAATACATGGGGGGCTAAATATTATCAGAAATTTTATTGTGGTATAAGTGAGCGGCGCCGCCGTGCGGTACAACGGGCCGCTAGAGGGAGCCAAGGGACTGTGGATCGGCGTGGAGTACGACGAGCCGCGCGGGAAGAACGATGGCTCGTGAGTGTTTATACTTTTAAATTGCTTGGCAGTACATCGTTATACACTGGTGTCTGTGTACTTCAATGGATATCTGTCGGGCTAGAATGCGCTTCACGATAAGATGTTAGCGTGCTATAAATTTGTCGTCGCGCCGCGCCACCGTGCGCTACAACGGGCCGCTGGAGGGAGCCAAGGGGCTGTGGATCGGCGTGGAGTACGACGAGCCGCGCGGGAAGAACGATGGCTCGTGAGTGTTTATACTTTTAAATTGCTTGGCAGTACATCGAAGTAAACAATGGTATCTTGGTACTCCTATGTATATTTGCCGGACTAGGACGCGCATCAAGATAAGAAATCTTTGGTATAAATTAGCCGCCGCGCCGCGCCACCGTGCGCTACAACGGGCCGCTGGAGGGAGCCAAGGGGCTGTGGATCGGCGTGGAGTACGACGAGCCGCGCGGGAAGAATAATGGCTCGTGAGTACTGTCTTAGTATCTAGATGTCGTAACATGGGGGGCTAAATATTATCAGAAATTTTATTGTGGTATAAGTGAGCCGCGACGCCGTGCGATACAACGGGCCGCTGGAGGGAGCCAAGGGGCTGTGGATCGGCGTGGAGTACTATGAGCCGCGCGACAATAATTATGGCTCGTGAGTACCTTGCTCTTTGCTTGGCAACACATCGAGATAAACGGTTAGGATGCGCGTCACACGCGCGAAACATGTGTTCAAACGGCGATACATCGATCTACTCAGGGGGCTAAATACTATCAGAAATGTTATTGTGGTATAAGTGAGCCCCGTTGCCGTGTGCTAAAGGGAGCCAAAGGGCCTCTAGAGGGAGCCAAGGGGCTGTGGATCGGCGTGGAGTACGACGAGCCGCGAGGCAAGAACGATAGCTCGTGAGTACTGTCTTGTTGTCTATCTACACGTAGTAATTTGTACTGATGACAGCGCATCAGGTACTTCTGTAAAAATATGTCAAACTAAGACGCGCATAACGATAACGACACCTTACCGTGGTCTAAATGATCCGCCGTGCGCTACAACGTGCAGCTAGAAGGCGCTAAAGGGCTCTGAATCGGCGTGCAGTACGACGAGCCGCCCCGTTTCGTAATGTTCCAAAGCGACCTTATTGATCGTGCTGAGAGCGAAAGCGATAGATGACGGGAGGGTAAGCGTATTTCTCGGCGGTGGCTAGTATATTTCTTCGTGTGTACTGTGCATGCTTCCTTTAATGTTTCTCAAAAAAATATTTATTTATTTTTCAGTGTCAACGGCAAGCGTTACTTCACGTGCCCGCCCAAATATGGCGGCTTCGTCAAGCCCGTGTACGTGACTGTGGGAGACTTCCCAGTCGAAGAATTCGACCTGGACGACGAGATCTGATCACGCTAATTCACAAACGGCCCCTAAGGACCTTAAAACGAGCACGATTTTTTGATAAAATTGCTCCAAGACTCGAAATATTAAGGTAAAGTCTCCTAATATTTTCAGTAAGACATTGTCCTAAAATATTGCTCGTTTCTTAGACCTTTGCAGACGGAATCATTACCTTATCACCTATTAATCTATTTTAAAACCTCAAGCAGCTTTGTCTTGAGCGCAGACTGATTATGCAGCCTCTATTATTTTTTTAAAAGATTCAGCGGTGCCCAACCATTTTTTACATAAAAATATTTGAATGCTTTGAGCAGATGTCAATAAATAAATTAATCACAAAACTGCTATGTACAATCAAAACTATAGAGTAGAACTCGATTAGGTTTTTTTTAACTCTCATTGAAACTGTGTCTTTTGCATTTATGCTTCAGCTGCTGTATACATTTTTTATAGATTTTTTCAAAGAAAATAAATTATGCAATTATAGGAGATACAAATAAATCTCAGAGTAATTGTTTTGTAAATCATGGAATAATAAATATAGCGTTAATATATTTGCAGAAATAATGCAATAACCTTTATTATAATAAGCAAGCTTGCTGGCAGGCTTGTTTAGTTGGCTTCACAAAGTTGATCCTAATGTATGGCTTTAAAAATTGAGAACATTGTGTGAATGGAGATGCTGGTAATTAGTTAAAGAATAATTGGACGTTTATTCTTCAGAAAGATGGTACATCTTTATCTAAGAGGAGAAAATAGAGTATGTAATGCACTAAAACTCTAGTGTAAAAAGTAACCAAACAAATATTCAATTAATATTTGCCAGCGAGAAATGAATATGCTTGAGAAATAATAAGTCGAGGAATGTAAGATATTGTGGAAGAATGGAAGTATTTATGTAGTTTAGACATTGTTTGTCATGTTAATGGAAAATGTATGTGTAAAAACTTATCATGTTGAAATATTTTTTGTACTTTTCTATTCACATCACGAATTGCGAAGCAATATCACGAAAAAATCAAGCGTTATAATAGGTATCATGTTTTAAAACACAAACAGCACATTCCACACGTGACTGATATGTATTGTAAAATACTCATTTTGTGACAAGCTTTGTTTGAATTAGGTTGTAAAATTCAATTATGTCTAATAAAATATTATTTTTTAAAAACATTAAAATTTTAAAAAGCCATTTATCGAATTTTCATTCTTTAAAACTATAAAATACTGTAGTTACATACACATACATAGTAACACCACAGAATAATAATAAGGTAACACCCAGACCCGTCACATGACATACATGTTAGAATGGAATAATAGCCTATTTTTTTGGGATTTTACTCCGATTTTTATAACAGTTTTTGGTCCAATTTAGTGTTAATTGATAGATTTTTTATAATTTACCTATTTTTTACTATGGGCCTCATAAGAAGGCTCAAGGTCACCCAAAGAGCGATGGAGCGTGCTATGCTCGGAGTTTCCCTGCGTGATCGAATCAGAAATAAGGAGATCCGTAGGAGAACCAGAGTGACTGACATAGCCCGCAGAATCGCTAAAATCAAGTGGCAGTGGGCGGGGCACATAGCTCGAAGAGATGATGGCCGCTGGGGCAGAAAAGTTCTTGAGTGGCGACCACGAGCTGGAAGACGTAGCGTGGGCAGGCCTCCCACTAGGTGGACCGACGATCTGGTGAAGGTCGCGGGAAGTACCTGGATGCAAGCGGCGCAGGACCGGTCTTTGTGGAAATCCTTGGGGGATGCCTTTGTCCAGCAGTGGACGTCTTTCGGCTGAAACGAACGAACGAACGAACCTATTTTTTAGGGTTATCAAAATGGAGATCACGTCTCGGAGTCGATTACGTTTTAATGCGATCATATTGAGTAATCGTTCTATCTAAATGCCACGTGATTACGGATTTAGGACTGTTTTTCAATAGGACGACTTCTAAACGTCAATGACATTTTGATTGTTTCCAAATACGTGAATTAGACCAGGCCACTGGTAGTCTACCATCTGAAACGTTGACCAAAATAAAACTCAAGACTGGTATAAAATCGTATATTTAGAACTTCCGCCTCTTCAAGATCTCTGGTCGCCAGTTAATGGGGTGCGTCTCTTCCGACGCGGCCTCGTCCTCGCGGTAGATCTTGATGGTCTTGTCTGCCTCCGCCGTGATGAGGCGCGAGCCCGAGCGGTCGAACGACATCGCGAAGATGCCCGCTTCGGAATCCATGGAGCCTGGTTGCACTGCCGACTGCAAACAAAAGTAAAACGATCAAGAATAGTTATTGGGACTATACAGGGTAGAAACGATAATTGATCTCGCTCGATTATTTATAAACTATAAAAGATATCAAAAAACTAGTTACTATCCTGAAAGTGCTTCATGAGCTCTATCAAACGGTATCAGTAATAGGTTGCAGAATAAACTGGATCTATCCAAAAAAATCAATGTTTCCAGCTTCCATACATTTAGTTACAGCCACATATTAAAAAACAAAAACAAAGTATATTATGTAGTATATCCGTTAAGCTAGCACCCATAACACAAGCATATTAATCGCTTACTTGGGGCTAGATAGCGCTGTGTGAAATTGTCCAAAGTTATTTATTTATATTTATTTTATTTGTATTGTTTAGAAATAATCGATTGAAATCACTTATCGTTTCCACCCTTTTCTACCTTTCCCTCTCGTTCCCACCACTGCGATTCCTGTGTATAGATCGTATCATCCACGAAGACGCGCCCCACCATTCTTCCCCCAGTGTTTGAGTGTTGTCAGTACACGCTAAATATCCATAAGTGCACACGCACACTAATAATAATAATAAATAACTTTATTAACACACATTACAAAAAACAATACAACAGATTTTAAAAAGAAAGAGACGAATGCATGTTAATAGGGCGCCCGCTCAGTTTTAGTTGGGACACCTTATAGGATGTCCCGACACTTATTTTTAGCGGGAAGCCCTATTAGCTACTGCGCATCCCTACCGGCGAGCCTGGTGTAAAAGGAAAATAATGTTAATATAAATTTAAATTTAAAACTAAAACTAAATTTAAAACTACAATAATGCCGCTCGGATAGCTCGGATCAAACTCCCCGCACCCCGTGCTTTCCTCGACCAAAAATTGGTGGGGCGCGTCTTCGTGGATGACACGAACTACTTATAGCCAGAATATTATACAGATTGACCGCCAACAATTTAGCAATTGAAGGCCATTTGTCCCAGGCGAAAGTCAAACTGTGATTGGAGCGAGACCGGAATCTGATAACGTCACAGCTTTCTTTTGTAAACAGCAATGTGAAAGATGCATTTTGACAGTTAAAGACGATTATTACCCTACAAAAACAGGAAAGTATAACCTACATATTTGTAAGTAAGAAGACAGACTCCTCCACTAATAAGCATGTAATGCATGAGCCCATGGTCAGTGGGTTATAAAAGCCTTGAAGTGAGAGCCCTACACTAGTTTACTTGTGGTCTATGGTATCACAAAATTTCACATTACATAATTAATTATACATTTCTATTTAGTAAAAAACAACAAACCTGCAACCTCTGGAAGTTATACCCCGTCCGCCAATCCCAGCAGTACATGGTCCCGTTGTCCCCTCCACTGACCAACACACCCTCGGGATTCACAGCCATACAGTTAACGATCGCGTTGTGTCCGGACAAGTTCTGGATGAACTTGCCCTCCGGACACTTCCACTGCTTGATGTTGTCCGGGGAAGCGGACGCGAACGTGTATAACGACGGGTGGATGACCACGGAGCGGACGGATTTCTTATGGTTGGTCAGTGTGCACATGGATTTGCCGGCGGCGAGGTCCCATAGACGGATGGTTGAGTCGTGGGAGCCGGTTATGATCTGGAAATCAGAAAGATATTATGCCACTTTAAGTTTACTTTTAAGTGATAGAAACTTATCATTACTTAAAGCAGGTCTCTCAATTAATTTGTTTGGGCCTGTGCTCTTACAGGTTGATATTTAGTGTCCGCTAAAACCACATAAAGAAAAAAAGGCAGTGTTCTGGAGGCCTTTGTTCAGCAGTGGACGTCAAGACGTCATTCAGCTGAAACGAACAAATGTTCTGGAACAACTATCTATTTGAAATTCTAAACTCCCCAATGACTAGGCAGAATAATCTCTGTCCTTAGCCTTTTTTTTATTATGATCATACTGCTGGAAAAAAGAAAATGACTAAGCAGCATGGTTTTTTGATTCTGACCTTAGCCTTTTTAATGAGCTTGGCTTGTTCGTTTCAGCCAAATGACGTCCACTGCTGGACAAAGGCCTCCCCCAAGGTTTTCCACAATGAACGGTCCTGCGCTGCCCGCATCCAGGCTCTTCCCGCTTGGCTTGGCTTGGCTTGTTACTGCCGGAAAAAAAAACCTGCGGCTAGGCCGCCTGGCACGTAACAGAAGTGACGGTATTCGTGTGGCTTGCCAGGGTGTACAGGTCCTCTAAAGCCATAAAGAAAAAAAAAGTGTTCTGGAACAGCTGCAGATTTGAAATTAGAAACCCACCAGACTAATGCTAGGCTGTATGCTTTCGGATCTTAGCCTTATCATTGATGATCCTGGCCAGTTACTGCTGGAAAAAAAACTCATCGCATTACCTGGGGCTCGGCCGCCTGGCACGCAACAGAGGCCACAGTATTCGTGTGTCCGGCCAGCGTGTGGACATTGGTCTTACTGATACTGGCAGGTCCTCTAAAGCCATAAAGAAAGGGGAAAAAGACAGTTCTGGAACAGCTGCTGATTTAAAATTAGAAACCCACAAGACTAATGACTAGGCTGTATGGTTTCTGATCTTAGCCTTATATGATCCTGTCCACACTGCTGGAAAAAAGAAACAAATAAATACTCCTCTTCATCGCATTACCTGCGGCTCGGCCGACTGGCACGCAACCGAAACGACGGTATTCTATTACTAGGCTGTATGTTTTCTGATCTTAGCCTAAAAAAATGTGATCCTGGCCAGTTACTGCTGAAAAAAAGCTCATCGCATTACCTGCGGCTTGGCCGACTGGCACGCAACCGAAACGACGGTATTCTATTACTAGGCTGTATGTTTTCTGATGTTAGCCTAAAAAAAATGTGATCCTGGCCAGTTACTGCTGGAAAAAAAAACATCCGCTTACCTGTGGCTCGGCCGCCTGGCACGCAACAGAGGCGACAGTATTCGTGTGTCCGGCCAGCGTGTGGACATTGGCCTTACTGCGCATGTCCCAGACGCGCGCCGTTGCGTCCCGTCCCGCCGACACGAGCACGTCGATGCTTGGGTGAAGCGCGAGCGTATACACGGCTGACAGGTGCCCGTGGTAGTGCCGGATCACCTGCGAATATACTCGAGTATTAGAAGAGACGATGGAGGTTGCAGTGAAAGATCGAGGTAAATACTCCTTGCTAATAAAAGTGACACAAGCTCTCGTCAAGCTGCAGATCCTGGCTACACAGCAGTTGCAGCAGTGAGAACGAGAAGTGGGAATAGTTACACACTTGTTGAACACTTGTTTATAGGGACGTTTTTGTTGGAAATTACATTTTAAACTACTGTTCAACGCTTGTAACTTTTTATTAGTAAGAGGGTTTGTTTCTCGCATTGAGTTGAATACTGTGAAAATCTATTATCGGTTGCGTTCTCAGAATTCGTAACATCATTCGTATGTATGTAATAGTGAATATTGTGCATCGAAACAATTGAGGTTTCATCTCTACAAGATCTAGGTCAACAGATTGTTATTTACATTGAATATAATTCTGCGAAAACCAAATCAATATCTGTCTGAATGCGTTCCTGGAATTCGCAAATGCGCGCTGCATGTGAGGAAGAGAAGAACTTGGCCGGATTCGCTAATACCATGGCGCGTGGGAAAGGGACAGCCGCTCAGCCGGGTTCGCAAAAACCGCAGCGCGTGGGAAAGGGACAACCTATTGAGCGGATTCGCAGATGCTATAACGCGGGAGAAAGAGACAACTGCTCAACTGACCTTGTCCTATTTTAGATTTATCTCGTTTCACTAGAATTTAAAACCAATTTTGGTACTAATGCATTTTATTGCGAAACTCGTTTATTAAACAAAGGAAATATGATAGAGTGAATACAGGGTCTTTTTACCCTGCGCCAGAAAGGTTATTTAGTTTACAAGCTTTTATTTAGTTTCATTTGTCCCGCTAAATAATCAAATCTTTCAAGTTCTGAGCTGACATTTTACATGCATGTGTAAATTGCGTGACAATGCAATATTATGATGACATGGAGCTAGTCTGATGATGGAGCTGGAAGGTGACCAATAATATAGGAACTCCACTATAAAACGACACAATCCCATCGAGTTTGGGCTTGTTGGATTTGTATTGACGAGAATTTTAATCCTATAAGGTCACCAGGCTCTGATGATGGAGTTACAAGGTGACCATAGGAACTCCGCAATAAAACGACCCAACCCATCGAGTTTGGGCTTGTTTGATTTGTATTGACGAGAACTTTAATCCTATATGGTCACCAGGCTCTGATGATGGAGTTACAAGGTGACCATAGGAACTCCGCAATAAAACGACACAACCCCATCGAGTAGGGGCTCGTTTTATTCGTATTGATGCCACCTAACATTTTAAGTGCTCAAAACAACACAAAATTTTGTGTGGATTCTACGAATTATTAGGAGCTAGCTACATACCGGTAAAAATATAACATTCCAAAATTATGTGTTATTTATTCAATAAGTTTACAGCAGTCGCTATTTTAATGACATCATATTTACGAATCCAGGCACTTTACAGGTTTTAAAATTAGCCACGCTTACCGCATTGCGTATGTATGTGTCGTGGACCGATCGATTGGCGCATCACGATGTGCCCGGCTGCCTGGGCATATTACGATGTGGCTAATGCAACGATCGGCCCACGACGCAAGTTTAGTTAAAATATATCTTACTAGCTTTCCGCCCGCGACTTCGCTCGCGTGGAATTTTGTCTGTCACAGAAAAATTTCATCACGCGCGTCCCTGTTTCAAAAACCGGGACTCAAACTACCTCTATGCCAAAGGACAATGACCAAAAGTGGTCCAAATGTCCACCACTAATGAGACCTATATTGGCTTATAGTCCGTTAAATAGAGATTAACTTTTAGTATGGGAAGAAAAAAAAATAAGCTGTCAGTAAAAAGTTATGACTGTTTGAAAAATTCTAGTAGTTTACGCCCTAATCTCAGGAATTAGGTCCGATTTGAAAAATTCTTTTTGTTATGGATAGCTCATTTATCAAGGATAGTTTTAGGATAAATAACATCACCCTACAACCAATAGGGGCGGAGCAGTAAAGACAAATGTTGTAAAAATGGGAAATGTTATTCAAACTATTTTCACGCGTACAAAGTCGTAGGCAAAGTAGTATAATATTTAATAAAACTCATCTACAGGGTGTTGATTTCAATACCCGCCATATTTAGGGAGTTGATTAAGTAGCTTATTCTGATCACGAATCAGCAAAAAAACTGACTTCAAAATTTTTTTAAATTATATTTTAAATATCTACGATTTCCATAATCGACCACTACAGTGCAGAATAGTCCCCCAACGCAAACGGCGCGCGGCGCTCACCCGGTGACCCGGGCAAACGCTGCGCCTCCCGTCCCGCGCCCCACTACCCGCGCTCGCCCATGAGTCAGTCAACTATCAGCCACAATCAGCTGTGAGTTCAAAGACGACTACTGGACAGAGCTTAATCCAAATCTACCCTAAAAATGTAATGAGTAAATTAGTTACTTACACCTTATCATGTTACGAGTTTATTTGTTGTTCTAAAAACTAATTAATTAAGTACTCTTTAATTAATAAAAAAACCTTTTACACGAATTTGCTTCCTTCCGCAAAATAATTTTTTTTACAGAACCTACATTATTATTATTTTTTAATTAAACCATGCTTTTATGTGTGTGATAAGCTTGTACCTACTTATCATTCAAAAGTACTGTAAACAGATGACAATAATGCTCTTTCATACAGGTTCGTTATTCCTTACATTTCCAGCTCTCTACCTTAATAACTTTTACGTCTTTACGATAGTAATTATTAAAATAAAACTTAACTTACTTAATACCGCAAACTGAACACCTAGAAATAACACACTGGCAAACTCTTGTTCCTTCACTTTCGATAGGAGATAAGACAAGATTTTGTTTTTAAACTCGATTGATTTCAGTACCTAAACAAAATTTCATATCTTAAAAGAAAATTTCATATCTTTCATTTGGAGCGGTGACTTGTAATTGAATACAATAATACCACCGCCTTGCGCGCGGCACGGACATCGGGCTCGCACGGAATAGGTACTTCCCCATCTTCGTGTTTCGGGCGTCATCGGGCGGCCGGCGCTCAATCGTGGATCATCGATTTTCTCTGTTCATCAGTCCGATTTTGCTATCCACGCAGAGAGGCCGCGCGCACGCTCCGCGAAATCTAGCTCGTATTTAGAATACCTAGTACTCAATCGCTATTTTCTTATTTCTTGCCTTGTAACTTCAACTTTTCTCTTCCTCTCTGCTTGATAACTGTTTTCTAGTACNCATATGCGACATGACATAACATGCGTAGATTAGTCCAAAATGTGCAATAGATAGAATTATATCAAGAAAATTTTTCGGATGAAAAGGTAAAAAACAGACTTTTCATTCAGTCATAACTTTTTACTGACAGCATATTTTTGATTGCGGTTTGTTTATAATGAATCAGTATTTAGTAGACTATTTTGCCACATAGGTCTCGTTAGTGGTGGACATTTGGACCACACTTCATATATTTTTGGTCATTGTCCTTTCATCAAAATCGGTTCAGTGGTTTAGGCGTGAAAGAGAGACAGACAGACAGAGTTACTTTCGCATTTATAATATTAGTATAGATTTTACAATCATACCTTATTATATTCCAAGTCCCAGCATTTAACTTGTCTGTCTTCTCCACAGCTGAAAAGATATGGGTGTCTTGATGATACTTCCAACCCTGCAAAAGAACAAAGCAAATTATTCAGACTATCAGCTTGTTTATTGAATAAAAATCAATTTAAAAAAAGAAATTTACTAACCTCTGACTGTACTGACATGTCCTGTAAGTGACACCTTTAGTTTTCCACTAGCTAAGTCCCAAATTTTTATTACTCTGTCAGCAGCACCTAGAAAAAAGAAATCAAATTATTTCTTTTTATCAAGCAGTCTTGAAGAGAAGGTATTCCATGCAAAGCTAATATTTTGTGCAATACTGAGAAAAAAATCTACTGATTGGTGGACTTTTAACTCTTATTTAAACTGTGTAGTTTATGGAATAGTTAAATTATCTTAAAAATGAAATTTTTTTTGAAAAACTACACTATTGAATAATGCTATTGTTCAATACAGGTAAAAAAAACTAATTTTTCAAAATATCTCAAATCAAAGTTAATTTTTTTCACAATTCCTTTTTCCATTTATTAAAAAGCTATTAAAATTCACTAGCTACCTTTATCCAACACTTACCGGTAGCAAACCACTCGTTCCCCGGTTCAACTGCCACACATCTCACCCATCCTAAATGCCCGGATATGACCCTGAACAGTTTCCAAGGGGCGTGCCACTTGGGCTTGGGCATGGCGGGCGCCTTCCGAGGCAGAGCCGTGAGGGCACCCGCGGGCGGCGCAGGCGATGGTGCTGGGCCAGTATAGGGAAGCATGGCTGACTCTGACCCTAGCGCTGCTGATTCTGCCATCTCTGGAACGGTTGGAATTTAATTTAATAATGTATGTTTTTGGCTGATGAATAGCATTCTAGTGATGGTGAATGATGAAATCATAAAAAAGTCTTCCATTGATTTTTTATGTTTTAGATATTGGATAGTATCTTTAGCATTTCATTGAATTCTGTTTCAATGTGGCAATTTTAAGTGACTTCTTTTTGGTTACAGAATTTAGAGTGTTATTAATTCTATTTGCAATTAGAAAATGAGATATATTGTTATAATCTCATTTGCCAATATTAAATTGAATGATTGTTATTATCAATCACAAAAAACATTAAGGCTGAGTTGCACCACCTTGTTTTAACCGTAACAATAACGATTACCGGTGAATTTTGTATGGAGTTTGACAGATTTTTGATGTTTGTCAAAGTTAAAGTAAGATGGAGCAACTCAGCCTAAGAATAAGACATAGAACAGCGATTGTTAACTTATAAAGCTTCAATCTAGTATGTGAACAAATGTGACATACCTGTCATGTCGTGTGGAGTCTCCGGCCGGCTCATGGCCTCCTGCTGCTTGACAGCTTGTGCCTGCTGCACAGTTGCCAGCACTTGTCCATAACTGTCCCTTGCTTTTACTGTCTTCAGTATCTTTTCTCTGAAACAAGACCCATGATACTTAATTAATGTTTCAATTTGTGTTTAGGCACACCATCAGGGAGTGCTTTGCTATATAAATTAATACCACGTATTAGGAATGCGTTTGTATGGCAAAATACCGTTGTATATTTTAGAATTATTCATATTTTAAAATGATTGACAATCATGAGCAAAACCGACTTCACAATGGGCTAGAAATGAAAAAAATAATTTAGTGTTTATTTAGAAGTAATATGAGTCTAAAATAATTATAATAAACCAACAAAATAGATGTGTCAGAGGTTAGTTTTGACGAGATTTTGTTTAAGCGTCATGAGGAAATATGATGAATTAAGTCACTCGTGAGTGTATTATTACAACACAGATACTTACGCTTTTTCGTCTATAGGCGGTAGAAGTCCCTGGTTAGATAGGAACATGTCGTGAGACCTCTTCAAAGATCTGAACACCAAGGTGTGAACTGAATGCTTGATTACATCGTCCGCCATGGTTTTATACTTTTGTGAACGGTTTTAAATATCAATTAATTATCTACTTACAATCACTAGTATTAAATAGTAAGTATACGTTATTTAATTATCATTATTTTAAATAAATTCAACACAAACACGATAGCCAAGGAGGGTTAGCGTCACATATGTCAATGTCAAAATGACATCGGCCACAGTCTACAAAGAATAGTCGTTCAGAAATCGAAAACTTCAAATAATATCAGTGGTGATAGAGCACCAGTGGGTCTAGACAAAGTACACATTGTAATCTTGAAACCAGTTAAAAATTGGTCAAAAAGATTTTTTTTTGTATGGACTTTGACGGATTCGATTTTCGGTTCGATCAAAAAGTGCATTTTGTCTAGGGGGGCAGGGCAGGCTTATTTTTGTAGGGTTTTATCCAATAGCTGCTATCCAAAGTTCAAGATAATATGTTTATAATTTGCTATATTTTTTTGCCAGATAAAGTAAAAACAAAAAAACGGAGAAATTATGGCCATTTTTGTTCATTAAGAAAGTGGCAACACTGGCAGTATGATCACTTTGTCGTATCGTGTTTGTTTCGAATCGCGGCGGGAGTCAAACTGACACAAGTACCTACGTAAATTGAAGTACCCACAGATCACGTAATAATAGCCTACCCACATTTGAATGAATTGCGAGGGAGAATGAGAGGATTTTTTTAAATTTATGAAAGATGTTTAAATTTTAATAATTGCGTTGTCCATAGATCCCGGCGACGACTGCCAAACTGGACCTGGCTCTGGGAGGCAGAGCAGACTATCTTTTCTACCAGGTGAGTCCAAATGTAATCTGAAATTGACTTCGATACACTGAATCTTGAAAATTATGTTGTATGTAGGTACCTCATCATCACTATGATTTCTGTTGCATGTTTTTATGATTCTAATCTAAACTAAAATACCACATAACTTGACGTGCTGTCGTCTGTAATGTAGATTGATATTACAGTAGGATAAGACTTATGGAATCTGTTGGGGAAGTTTCTTCTATACGATATTGAAAATTAATTATTAATTGCGTTTATAGAAACTGGGGAAGATGAAAGCCTATCTGGATCCAGTCCTATAGGCCTAAGCTGCACCCCGTGATAGGCGATTATCACGCCGTTTTATCGATTTTGCCCATACAAATTGACGTCGATAAAAGTTATCACGGCGCGCATCTTAGGCCTACTGGGCGACACACAGTCTTTTATTTTGCCTTAGANGATGAATAAAATTCTGTTTAGCTTATCAAAAATGATGGGTCGTAAAGGCACTTTTTTTGGGATTTTCGACAAACTAAATATACAGATCGATAGAGAATGAAATTCTGAGTAAAACTGTATAAATAACTCATTTTCGGTATTTTGTCCTTTACGACCTTTGAGCCCAGAGGTATCGATATGGTAGGGTGTAAGCAACTATTAAATTTCAAGGTCAACCGCCCTCTATCTCGAAAACGGTTCACCGTATAAAAAATTTTTTGAACAAAATTTGTAGAGAATTTTGTATTCTACAATATTGATAATAAATACAAATAGCAAAAAACCCATAGGAAATGAGATATTTCCAAAAAAAAGCGCAAAAAAACGATTTTTGTGACCTTTGACCTTAAAATTTAATAGTTGCTTACACCCTACCATATGTAGGTTTTGAGACAACTTTTAGGGTGCCAATATACAAGTATTTGCAGACTTACAGCTGGGTATCTCGAATTCCGAGATTCTTACCTAATTTAAGCTTAAATGACTGGACTAAGATGGACCATGTGTTGGGTGCTAAACATTTTAAGATAGGAGGCCTCTTTTAATATATTGAAAGTTTTATGCGTTGTCCGTAGGTAAACAGGGCGGTCCGCGCAAGCCTGGTCCCCGTGGTAGGCCGGTGAAACCTGTCTACTACAAGTCGATACCAGGTAAGTCCACTTTAATCTTAACCAACTTCTTTGATAAACACTGAATCTGAAAATCATCTCATCAGCCGGTCTTAGTTTCTACTGCAGGAGTAATCTGGCTCCTGTCTAATTTGGCTTTGGCAAATATGGGATTATTAGAGCAATAAGATACGATGTAATGTTACATAATGATTACATTAGGTAGGTAGGTACATCAATTTGTGTCGTTCCTTTCCTCTATGGTTATGTACTTGATTGAATTCAGGAAGAGTCTGTTATAAGGTAGGGTTTGAATAAAACTTGTTAGGTATGTCTAATTTACGTTTTAATTGGTAAAAAAATGGATGCTATTAATCTAACGTGTATGGCACAAACATGCTTGCATTTAGTGTTTTAATTTTTAATTTTTGACTCATTAAGATTTTAAATACATTGTGAGGGTACTTAAGTACGTTTGTGAGAGTAGATAGACATCGAGATCATTGCTTACAAGGTACAACTAAACCTCTTGTCCATTGAGGAAATATTAATTCGGTTCTCACTATCCCAGAAATAACACCATCAACGACAAGAGATTCAAAATAAATTATAGACTAGAAAATATAAATTGCTGACTAGATCAATCTCATTAGCTTACATTGTACATAGCTGCTAAAATAATTTACGTGATATTTACAAAAACTCATTCTTAGTAGCGTTAAGTAATAAGTAATACTGCACAAAATTAAATATTCTCTACCTATAGAACAGACACTGATGCTCAGCTTGAAATGTTCACTATTTCGTCAAATAACACTGTACGCGGAATCTAACCATTGTCCCCATTAAACTTGTGTATTGGTGCTGGATTGGTGCGCTTGTCAAGATACTCTTTAGAAACTGTGTCTTCAGACGAGACGGTCGACGTTTGAGTTCTCGAGCGCCTGCCAATCGTAGTCAATATCTGCGGAGTCGGCGACGGAAAATACCGCGCCAGTCTCGGTTCAGATGGCCGACTTCTCCGGGTTGTTTGCGTCGCTCACCCGGCGGGAATGAGGTGCCCTTCGGAGGGTTCGGGGCTGGAGGTTTAGAGGAGGAAGGTTGGGGCGCTCGATCCTGGTCGGGGACGAGACGAGGGGTCGCCCACGGCGGAGGGTATCCATGCCATTTCGAAAGTACTCCTCTGTTCGGTCGCTGTAGCTTTCAATGAGAGGAGCGGGATCCTCGTATTCGACGTTGAAATGACGCGTGATGGTTAGGTCTTCTGGCGGCCCGAGCTTGTACAGTGGAGGCTCGACGCACTCGTAGTGGTGGTCCTCAGTTTCATCGTGAGGGTAGGTGTCGGCGACGAAGTGGCGGGTGCCCCGCGGCGTTAGAGCCGCCCAGAGCACCCGGGAGTCCAGGGCTGCGCCCCCGTATAGAGCGTTCGAGCCACTGGCCTTGCCAGTTCCGCTTTTGCAGCCACCGCGCGCTCTGTGAACAAAGCTAAGTTTTGTTAATTCTATGTGTTTGCAAAATGGACCCTAAAAAACTGTGATATCAGTAGGATTATTTTCATAGACAAAACAAAAGACAGTGAATACTTACTCTCTGCACTTGAGCAAGAAGAGCGCAAGAAGTGCCGCAATGCAAAGCACGGCGATGCAGCATGTAATCAGCACCAGAAACCATGTGTCATCGTTGCCGGCTGGCTCTGAAATAGGACAATGACAATTTAGGCCCGATTCGACCAAACTTTCATCTGAGAATAACTCCTGGTATAACTGGCACATTGACAGTTTCCTTATAACAAATGTGTCAAAACTGACGATTTATTCTGAGATTAATATTTACTCTTGTTTGGTCGAATCCACCTTTAGTAATACCAAGCTTTTGTTGGCAAAAGCTTGGGAAGTCAGCATAAGAATGGCAAGAAAAGATAGCATCTTTTCTATTATTATTCTAACTTACCGTGTCTAGGCAGCTCATGGTATTCCACTCCCGGGAACAGAGCGTTGTCCTCGTTGTTCTGCAATGGCGGGCATTTAGAAGCCCTGCATGGCGGCGTCAGGTTGGCAGCACTGGCCAGGAACGCGGGTAGCGGCGGCGGCGGCATGTGTAGGATCGAGTCCGGTGGGGGGCCGATCGACAGACATTCTGCCCCGCACGTCATCCTGGTTGAAAGTTGAAGGAAACTTTTACTTTTGAACGAAAACTGAGAATTTAAAAAAAATAGCAGGCTTAAACCCTTCCAAGAAAATCCGAATGGAAATCCCGTCCATCCGGAAACAAGATTTCACGAGATTTACTCTTGTGACGATAATAACGCGCACATTTATTAAAACCATAAAACCATTGTTAAAACCGTGTTCAAAATATTTTTTATCTCTTCTTTTCAATTTTCTTAAACAGTTACGTTACTTCGAAATCAAGGGATGATTTATTTGTTTCTTTGACTTATATTGAATGCTAGCGAAAATAATTTCACAAAAGTTAAAAATCTCTACATTAAATCAGTTCACTGGATTGTAAAAAAAACCAGCTCTAACAAATCGTGTTATTTTACTTTTTAGTTTAGCTCCAAGATAATGTGTACTGTGTACTAGGCATTTTGCCTATTTTGAACTCTACTGCTTTTTCTATTCGTCTTTGTTTGTATTTGTGCTAACACATAACATTATTATGCTTAGGATGTGGGTTGTATTATTTTTTTGAATTGATAACACACTCTCTTACAGCATACACGTAACACAGTAAATGTAGGTAGAGCAATGTGGGTACACACACAAATTAGGTACCTACCCACTGTCACCCAAGTCACGGTAATAAAGTGAAGAGCAATAAAAGTAAACACAACATTATCGTGCTTTATTGTATGGGATCATGGTATTCGATTAATTAGTATTTTAATCCCAGCCCAATAATTATTTTCTTTCTTTGTTTTCATTTTTAATAACTAATTAGGCGGCCATAACACAAGGGTAAGTAAACATTTTACATTTATCATTTTTATCTGGACTGTTTCTGAAGATATGTAACGTGTTTGATGGTTTTTTTGAGGGTGTTGAATATTAAACTTAATAAAATTTTCATGTGTAACAAAGAGTTAATACTGAATTATTAACTTAGGTCAGAAATACGATCCTTGTTAGTACATAATCATATCATCACTAAGAAGCACTATTAAAATCACACAACAGACAACAAAAGGTCACAATAAGTATAAAAAAACTCACTTTAGCAGGTTATTTACGAATAATCACACAAAATGGTTGCACTTTACACCAGTCTCGAGTTACACTTGTTCGAAGTTTGGTCCAGAGATGCGGGGCGCAGGCGCGATAACGTACCACGAGTAACGCAAACACGGTCACTCCTTCAACCATTTGCGAAANCGACAGAGCATCGTCGCCAGACTCGCCAGGCAACCAGGTGCGCACATTACCTACCTTATCATCAGCTCATTTAGTTTTCACTGCAGGAGGACGAGTCGATAATTACTGGTGGAAAATCGGAGATTTCGCCTGAATTTTGCTTAGGTATCGTTCTATTATGGACCCTGTTGGACGCTGCAAATATAAAATATAAGTGAAGAGGCTTCTTTTAACCCATTGAAAGTATATTAATTGATTGCGTTGTCCGTAGATCCCAAGGCTGATCTAAGCCAACCTGGGCCCAGCTCTGGGAAGCAGAGTATCTCTTGGCAACCAGGTGAGCCCATGCGCAAAATTGATAGAAACAGATGGTGTAAACACGATATTCAATATCACACGATAACATGAACATTGATCACATAATCTGAAGTAGGTATATTATTGAAAGTTATAATCAAATTAAGGGTTAATTACTTACCTTGTCCGTAGATCCCAAAGATGATCTAAGCCAACCTGGAACCAGCTCGGGGACGCAAAGTATCTCCTGGCAACCAGGTGAGCCCAAACCCAATAACTAACTAATAATGGCGCAGTTACAGGCGCGAACTTGATCGAATCGAATGAGATGGTGTAAACACGTAATTCAATATCACACGATTGACATAAACATTGAACACTAAATCTCGAAATATAATAATAAAAGTTATTAATTATTCCGTTGTCCGTAGATCCCGAGGATGATTTAAACCAACCTGGACCCAGCACTGGGAAGCAGAGTATCTCCTGGCAACCAGGTGAGCCCAATATAAATCCAATAAGTAACTAACTATAATGGCGCAGTTATAGTATGCGCGAACTTGATCGAATCAGATGGTAATAAGTAACATAGACATTTATGATTATTTATTAGTTGCCTTGTCCGTAGATCCCAAGAATGATCTAAGCCAACCTGGACCCAGCACTGGGAAGCAGAGTATCTCCTGGCAACCAGGTGAGTCCAAACCAGTACTTATATTATTCTGTACCCAGACCCAATAACTAACTTAGTAATAATGGCGCAGTAACTTAATTAATTAAAGTAATAATTGAAAGTTATTTATTTATTAATTACGTTGTCAGTAGATCTCAAAGACGATGCTAGCCAACCAGGAACCAGCTCTGGGAAGCAGAACGGCGTCACCAAGAAGCCAGGTGAGCCCAAACCCAATAACTAAACTATAACATGAACATTGAAAACCGAATCTCAAAATGTACCTACCCGATCATCAGGTAATTTACGCCCGTATTCACAAACGATGCTTGCATAAGTGAAGCAGCAAACCGGACGCACAGCGTTAAATAGAGCTCTGTGATTGTTCTGTGCGTCCACGCGCACTGTGAGACCTCGCGGTAATGTTTGTGAATACGGGCGTTAGTCTCCACTAAATGAGGATGTCTCTCTTTTTTATTTACTTCTGGCAAATGGGGGATTTTACCTATAATGCGGAATTCATCTACCGTCCTATTACGGGCCTTGTTGGATGCTGAAAAAATTGAATAGTAGAAGGCTTATTCTAAGTAATTTAAAGTTATTTATTAATTAATTACGTTGTCCGTAGCTCCCAAGGTCGATGCTAGCAAGCCAGGACCCAGCCATCGGCGGCAGAGCAGCATCATCGCCTGGCAACCAGGTGAGCACCAACGAAATGAGGGCTATCGTTTTTATACTTAACAGTTGGCACCCCTGGCGATTGACAGGACCTTACTCTACAGTGGCGCCATCTTGATGAGTGCAAATGCGATAGTCCTCCTACCACTTTAGCGCTCACCAGTTGGTGCCACTGTCTTCGCTACTAGCAAGTGACAGGACCTTACTCTACAGTGGCGCTAACTGGTGAGCGCTAAAACGATAGCCCTCATTATAGCTAACTTCTTGGTAACACTGAATCTCGAAATAATATACTTCATCTGCAGGTATTAGTCGCCATTGCAGGAGCATCAACTTATTGCAAATGGGGGCTGAAAATATAAAATTAGGACAGGAGGCTGCTTTAGAGATATTGATCGTTATTTAATTAATTAATCTTTCTTTCTTTCTTTAGAGATATTGAAATTTAATTAAATTAATTGCGTTGTCCGTAGGTCCCAGAGGCGATGCGATTCAAGCTGGACCCAGCCGCGGGGAAAGCAGCGTCTCTAAACAGCCAGGTGAGCCCAGATGTAATCAAAATATACCTTACATTGGAATTTATTGTCAAATTCAATCCACCACGCTTCTATTGACATTTTTATCCTATCACTTCAGCCTACTTGAAAAGGATTTTCAGGTATGGTAGGGAATTGGGAGTAGGTATATAGGTACTATCCGTTTGTCGTAGTTTTAAGTACGTATCTGTTGTATTTGAATCGAGGGAGACTGTATCAATAATTGCTTCTATAAATGTAGAGGTGCGCCGCAGGACCGGTCTTTGTGGAAAACCTTGGGGGAGGCCTTTGTCCAGCAGTGGAAGTCTTTCGGCTGGAACGAACTTACGAATGTAGAGTTTATTGGTTGATGTTAAAACTAAGGTATAAAAATATAGATGGACCATGTGTTGGGTGCTAAAAATTTTAAGATAGGAGGCCACTTTTAATATATTGAAAGTTATATGCGTTGTCCGTAGGTAAACGGGGCGATCCGCGCAAGTCTGGACCCCGTGGTAGGCCGGTGAAACCTGTCTACTACAAATCGATACCAGGTAAGTCCACTTTAATCTTAACCAACTTCTTTGATAAACACTGAATCTGAAAATCAACTCATCAGCCGGTCTTAGTTTCTACTGCAGGAGCACGATCCTGTCTAATTTGGTTTTGGCAAATATGGGATTATTAGAGCAATAGGATACGATGTAATTTTAATTATCATAATGATTACATTAGGTAAGTAGGTACATCTTTATTTTTATGGCAATTTGTTTGTGTCATTCCTTTCCCCTTTGGTTATTTAAGTATGTACTTGATAGAATTCAGGAAGAGTTGTAAGGTAGGGTTAGGATAGCTATAGCTTAGCTTATAATTATGAATAAAACTTGTTAGGTATGTCTAATTTACGTTTAATTTGGTAAAAAAATGGATGCTATTAATCTAACGTGTATGGCACAAACATGCTTGCATTGTGTTTTAATTTGATTCATAAGATTTAAAATACACTGTGAGGGTACTTAAGTACGTTTGTGAGAGTAGATAGACATCGAGATCATTGATTACAAGGTACAACTAAACCTCTTGCCCATTGAGGGTTCTTACTATCCCAGAAATAGCACCATCAACGACAAGAGATTCAAAATAAATTATAGACTAGAAAATATAAATTGCTGACTAGATCAATTGCATTAGCTTACATTGTACATAGCTGCTAAAATAATTTACGTGATATTTACAAAAACTCATTCTTAGTAGCGTTAAGTAATAAGTAATACTGCAAAAAATTAAATATTCTCTACCTATAGAACAGACACTGATGCTCAGCTTGAAATGTTCACTATTTCGTCAAATAACACTGTACGCGGAATCTAACCATTGTCCCCATTAAACTTGTGTATTGGTGCTGGATTGGTGCGCTTGTCAAGATACTCTTTAGAAGCGGTGTCTTCAGACGAGACGGTCGACGTTTGAGTTCTCGAGCGCCTGCCAATCGTAGTCAATATCTGCGGAGTCGGCGACGGAAAATACCGCGCCAGTCTCGGTTCAGATGGCCGACTTCTCGGGGTTGTTTGCATCGCTCACCCGGCGGGAATGTGGTGCCCTTCGGAGGGTTCGGGGCTGGAGATTTAGGGGAGGAAGGTTAGGGCGCTCGATCCTGGTCGGAGAGGACACGAGGGGTCGCCCACGGCGGAGGGTATCCATGCCATTTCGAAAGTACTCCTCTGTTCGGTCGCTGTAGCTTTCGATGAGAGGAGCCGGGTCCTCGTATTCGACGTTGAAGTGACGCGTGATGGTGAGGTCTTCTGGAGGCCCGAGCTTGTACAGCGGAGGCTCGACGCACTCGTAGTGGTGGTCCTCGGTCTCATCGTGAGGGTAGGTGTCGGCGACGAAGTGGCGAGTACCCCGTGGTGTTAGAGCCGCCCAGAGCACCCGAGAATCTAGGGCTGCGCCCCCGTATAGAGCGTTCGAGCCACTGGCCTTGCCAGTTCCGCTTTTGCAGCCGCCGCGCGCTCTGTGAACAAAGCTAAGTTCTGTTAATTCTATGTGTTTGCAAAATTGAACCTAAATTTTTAATATCAGTAGGATTATTGTCATAGACAAAACAAAAGACAGTGGATACTTACTCTCTGCACTTGAGCAAGAAGAGCGCAAGTAGTGCCGCAATGCAAAGCACGGCGATGCAGCATGTGATCAGGACTAAGAACCACGTGTCATCGTTGCCGGCTGGCTCTGAAATAGGACAATGACAACTTAGGCCCGATTCGACCAAACTTTTATCCGAGAATAACTCCTGGTATAACTGGCACATTGACAGTTTCAGTATGGGAAATATGTCAAAACTGTGTGCCTACCATGAGTTTACGTTAGGTGTGCTCGCTAGCGACTGCGTAAAAAAATGACATTTAAATGTATGACATATTGTGCAGCGCCCTATCGGCTACTTTCAAGAAATAAAATCTTCATAGAATTTTTTGACGTATTCGCTAGCGAGCTCACCTAACGTAAACTCATGGTAGGCACACTGACGATTTATTCTTAGATTGATTTTTACTCTTGTTTGGTCGAATCCACCCTTAGTAATACAAACTAGCATTTGTTGTCAAAAGCTTGGGAAGTCAGCATAAGAATGGCAAGAAAAGATAGCATCTTTTCTATTATTATTCTAACTTACCGTGTCTAGGCAGCTCATGGTATTCCACTCCCGGGAACAGAGCGTTGTCCTCGTTGTTCTGCAATGGCGGGCACTTAGAAGCCCTGCATGGTGGGGTCAGGTTGGCAGCACTGGCCAGGAACGCGGGTAGCGGCGGCGGCGGCATGTGCAGAATCGAATCTGGCGGGGGACCGATCGACAGACATTCTGCCCCGCACGTCATCCTAGTTGAAAGTTGAAGGAAACTTTTACTTTTGAACGAAAAATGTAAATTAAAAAAAATAGCAGGCTTAAACCCTTCCAAGAAAATTCGTCCATTAACACTTTGTATTACCACTTTTCGGAAACAAGATTTTCGGAACGAAAATTTTATTCCTGTGACGATAATAACGCGCAAACCGTGTACAGTTCAAAACATTTTATTTTATCTCATCTTTTAATTTTTCTTAAATTACCTACCTAGTTATTCCTACTTTGAAATCAAGGGATGATTTGTTACTTTGACCTAATTAATGCTAGCTTTAATACATCAAAGCCTCTACATTTAATCACTTCACTGGATTGTAAAAGACAACTTGTCACAAAATTTTGTTTACTTTTATGAATAAATTGTTCTTTTAATAGTTTGGCACCAAAATAAACTAGGCATTTTGCCTATTTTGAACTCTACTACTTTTTCTATTCGCCTTTGTTTGTATTTGCTCGAACACATGATATTATGGTATGGGTGTGGGTGTCCTTAGTTTATTTTGAAAATGCTTTTATAATTAAATATAACAGTGCTCTCTTACAGCATACACGACACAGTAAAAGTAGGTAGAGCAATGTGGGTACACACACAATTTATAGTGCTGCTGTATAAAATTAGGTACCCACTCACTGTCGCTCAAGTCACGGTAATAAAGTGAAGAGCAATAAAAGTAAACACAATTTATTAACGTGCTTCATTGCATGGGAGCATGGTATTCGATTATTTTAATCCCAGCCCAACAATTATTTTCTTTCTTTGTTTTCATTTTAATAACTACCTAATTAGGCGGCCATAACACAAGGTAGGTAAACATTTTACATGATAATTTTTATCTGGGCTGTTTCTGAAGATATGTAACGTGTTTGATGGTTCTTTTGAGGGTGTTGAATATAGTTAATACTGAATTATTAACTTAGGTCAGAAATACGATCCTTGTTAGTACATAATCATATCATCACTAAGTAGCACTATTAAAATCACACAACAGACAACAAAAGGTCACAATAAGTATTAAAAAACTCACTTTAGCAGGTTATTTACGAATAATCACACAAAATGGTTGCACTTTACACCAGTTTCGAGTTACACTTGTTCGAAGTTTGGTCCAGAGATGCGGGGCGCAGGCGCGAAAACGTACCACGAGTAACGCAAACACGGTCACTCCTTCAACCATTTGTGAAAAGCATTATCCATTGCTTAGTAGCTAAAGATTTGGAGTCTTAGAGCTTCATATACCACGCGATGGTTGAACGACAATGCAAAACATCGCAAAACGTTAGTCTCTTCCCGGAACATGGTACAAGGGCAGTTATTGATTCGCGCAGGCGCGGGAACGGATTTCGCGCTCCTTGTATTAAGGGCTCGGATTAATTTCAACGTGAGGGTTAGCTCTGTATATCCGTCTCTTTCCCACACATAGAGCGATTTAAAAAATGAAGAGCACCAAATGATGCTCCGTAGAGAATTTATATTATACACAAGGTTAGAATTTCGTAAATTATATTGTACGACGTGAGTTTATTAAACGCATATTAGAGACGGAGCTTTTCATTAATTTTGTGCGGGTGGTAATATTATGATTAAATACGACAGCCTTACTACATGACATTCATAAATTGGATTTACTGGGCTAATTATGAACATGTAGAAATTGTTAGGTACTTATTTGTGTTTTTAACAATATGTTTAGTTATTGATAATACGTACTTAATCAGTATCTACTATTATACATGTACCTTCTTATGAAAGAATTCTTATAAACATTAGCATTAATTTCTATTAGTAAATTCGTTTTGTTAGACATGTTTCTTGTAATAGAAATCTAGTCAGAAATATTTTTAAACGATGAAATTTTAACGTAAAACGCATACTTTACTGCTCTACGTGCTGGATTACTCAAAGTATCAATTTAAAAATAAATATTAACAAAATACTTCGTATAAATATTTCATGCTATGCTAATTGTACTATTAAACTAAATTAGGCTTGTAATACGTGGGACTTATAATATTAATCCATGACTCTTTGTATCGCGTGCTCATATTAAATTTTACCCCACGCAAGATTAGAATCCGCAGCTCGTCGACTTTGTAGTCCGGAGCGTTAACCACTGATCCACACGATGATCTATTTTAATTCATCATCATCATCATTATCATTATTTCAGCCATAGGACGTCCACTGCTGAACAAAGGCCTCCCCCATTGCTTTCCATGTTGATCGATTGATCGCTTATTTTAAATGAATCACAGCTAATTTAATAAAACAAAGCGATGCCAAAACGAAAACATTAATTTGTTAACTAAACGATGTTTGTTTAGAAAAGTTATTTTCAACTTAGTCTTCCATAACAGGGGCGATTAAAATAAAGTTTAAGATAAACAGATTTATCTTTACCGCAATATTTAACGTGTTTTCAATTACGCAATACCTTTTAAGGAAAGTTAAGATAATAATCTTCCGACTGAAGTTTCACCTAGGGGTTGTTTAAAATAAGTATCTTATTTTGAAAGGATCGATATCAAAATGGGACACACAATTCGAAATATATTGTTTTTCCCAATAGATAGACTTTCCAAATTTTATCAACCTTATTGTTGGGTAATCAATTTTATTCGTGGTTTCGTAGTCTACGGTCCAAATGAGCCACGATAGACGCTTATGGCGGTTCATACGGTATGAACCAATAGTAAACTAATCTTTCTAATGTTAGAATTTCCGATGTTAACAGTAAGTATTAAGTAAGAATTCCTTAATTTTTAATTTGTTTATCCGAACTAAGACTTTCAACCGTCACCTATTTTTCCTGATTTAAAAATAGAACGGCCCGGCCGTTAGTTAATTAGCGCGGATTTTAAATCAATTGTCAGTCGGCGCGCGTCCGCGAGGAATGTAATTCGAGCGGAGCGGCGCCACTGCGGCAAATTAAATTTCTTAGCGCTGCCCGTGACGTTTGGAAGTGCGATTATAATATCTTTTATTGGATAGCTAATAGCTACTTCTAAAGGTATACTTAAGTTAGAGAGCCTGTTATGTGTTTAACGCCCGTATTCACAAACTATGCTTGCTTAAGTAAAGCAGCAAATCGAACGCACAGCGTTGAATAGAGTTCTGTGAATGGTTCGAGTGTCACCCTGTGCGTCCAAGCTCACTGTGAGACCTCGTAGTAATGTTTGTGAAAACGGGCGTAATAAACTCTCTGTGGCAGCCTGCTAGAATAGCTTCCAATTTGATATAGTAGTCTCTATAAATAATTTTTTTAAATAAAAAAATATAGAACCCTGTGACAAGTTGCAGGCTTAAATAGGTAAAGACGCTTGATTGTACAAATTCATTCTTTAGTATAATTTTGTTAAAAGATTCCAATACACTGATGGATTTAAGGGAACCCAAAACTTGCCACTTCATCATCATCATCATCATCATTTCAGCCACAGGACGTCCACTGCTGAACATAGGCCTCCCCCAATGACTTCCACATCGCACGGTTGGTAGCGGCCTGCATCCAGCGCCTTCCCGCTACCTTTATCAGGTCATCGGTCCACCTTGTGGGTGGACGTCCCACGCTGCGTTTTCCGGTATGTGGCCTCCATTCCAGAACCTTGCTGCCCCATCGGCCGTCAGTTCTGCGTCAAAACTTGCCACTTAGGCTTCATTAACTTTACCTGCATCTACACTGCGAGTAATTTGGCCCTCCAGAGCGATGAACCCTTCCCATGTTCTTCAAGATTACCTAAGATTATTTAACACCAGATGCGATTGTGGTCAAATACCTGACGTGTTATGCATACAAAAGATACCTACATCTTCACTTAAAATCTAGAAAACTCCGAAGATCATAGACTCTTTGAAAAACGTATCCAGTTTACAGACACGTTTGCTCCTTTGGTCTATACGAATTACTTTTGTTCTGTGATGAAGACCTTATTTTTCTGGATTTATCCTTGAGAGAAACCTTGAGCCCTTTATGCTCGCTGAGCCAAATCTTTTGTGCCGATAAGTTTATTTTCGGAGACGTGCGAACAATTTATAATTCTGAATATTCATGATTCATCTTATGTATTTTACGCGAACTTTCTCATATCAAACGTTTACCAAGACCTCAAAAGTAAAGTAATTAAGCGGCACTGAAGCAGTTATTTATTTAAAAAAAAGCTTTAAAAATACCAATTGAATCCGAATTTTAGCCACCAATTACTTATCAATGAGGGTTTTCGCGATTGAAGGATCCGCCAGATGGCGATACGTGGACGCGGGGTCCAGATGCTGCGTGATTGGTTATTTTTGACATGACATTGACAGATATGTCAAAATCCACCAATCACGCAGCGGTCGGACCCCACGTCCGCGTCCCGCCATCTGGCGGATTTTTCAATCGCGAAAACCCTTGGTAAGTAGTTTTGGATGATGGTGAACGATGACGTCATGTTAGTCTAGAGCCGTAAAAAAATCAGCCATAGTAAATTTTCCCTTTTCGCCAATGGACTTATTTCAAAAGCTGACCAGACGATGTATTAAAGCTTATCTTTACTGAGAGCTTTTTACAGCTTTATCATAAGTTGGCAAGCGTTAATTGAACGCCAATCGTGTGCGAGTAATCCGTGGTCTATGCTCCCATAAATCGCAACGAAAACAAACATTGCATAAAACCTACAACCAAACTGGGTATAGTAGTCCCTTTACTTATGTCGTCGTCGTCGTCGTTTCAGCCAAATGACGTCCACTGCTGGACAAAGGCCTCCCCTTTACTTATGTATCGTCGAGAAAAAGCAGGCTGGCTTGCGTAACTCTAGAAATCTAGACATCAGTACCTCTAGCATAAACAACTTTCGTCTTCGAATCGTTTGCGTATTCGACAAAATTCGATACTCAACCTTTAATTTAAATGATAACGTGACAATTTTGATTCTCAAAATAAGTTTCGAGCAACCATTTCTCATACTAAGTTCACTTTACGAAACATTCACAAGGGCGCTGTTGTAGTTTTCGTGCTAAATCTTTGATGACGATTCGAATACACAAAACGATTCTAACTCGAAAGTTTTTCGTGCTAGCCGAACAGTGTATCTACCGATCTACTCGAAATAAACCATTGTGTGACTGTCTCTCTATGTACTCGATATAAACTATTTGCTACGTATAATAATAAACTGTTTTTAGGCTAAAGTAAGTTCGACTCCGTGTTAAAGAAATGTGAAGTGAAATATCGAGTTTAGTTTCGTCAGCGCCATTTATACCTAAAACTAGCTTTTTGCCGCTACACATTTTAGCAAAGTCACAGACATCAATCCCCTGGCCCTTCTTCGTTTTACTTTTTTGTGGCGGACCGCTATGCTCTGACGTCAGCAAGATGGCCGCTCCATTGACAAGCGTTAGCGCGGCTTGGCGCCAAATGCGCAGGTCCGCTGTTATACAGCCATTGATAGAGCGTGTGGGAATATTATACGAAGCGACGAGCTTACGATCCGATTTCTTAAAAAGCTCTAGGTACCGAATAAGAGATCATGAAACAGTCAATCATAGTCCAAGAGCATCTAGCTATATCTGACTCTGTTTAATATGTGGTCCATATATTTAGTTAGGTAAGCAGAGATTGGATAAAACTCAGACGGGCAAGAAAAAAATACAAATTGCAGCACCTTGTTTGAATGTAACTAATCGTTTTTTATTTCAATTAGAAAGAAAAAAGAGAAAGAAAAAATATTTATTTGGTATCAAAGATAAATACAGTAAAAAATTAAATGACAATTAAATTGATAACTTTCTATTTCATTTTACTACAAAACCAGCAATTTAGAAAATATTTTTTGGGTCATTATTTTATAATAGTCGAAACGACCGTTTTAAGATTCCAAGTCTAAACGTAACGTAAAGTCTAAAAGGCTTCAAAAGGCCGTTATAGCAAGCGTAGGTTCAGGAATATAGGCTGTATCAGAAGCCACTTTTGCCCCGCTCGGTACAGCCGTGCGGAACTTTAAGCTCGCGTGGAAAACTTTCCAAATTCAAATTCCGTTCTTAATTTGAATTACGGCATTTGAAACTTTTCTATTGTATGAATGTTTTGAAGCAAAAACATTTTTTTTAATAA